ATGTGAGTGTTTTAATGCACAGTCTAACCCACAGGGCCACAACACCCACACCTGCCACTTTGCAGTTAACAAATAAGAAATTTTCATCCAATATTACATAATAGAACACTTTATAGAAATATTTTAGTATGCCAATTTTAACTAATATTTAATTTATTTGAATATACAATTTTTTACATTGAGGTTAAAGTAAGGTACTTTTCCAAACTTATGATATGCTTTGCTTCATATTCAGATAATATCTGATTGAACCATTACCAGGTATTTGCATTTATAGATGCATTTTATTTAAAGGACTTTCCCACTTATCAACCTCTAAAATGAATAAAACCTATAGGTCTTTGGATCCTAAGGAAGTGAAAATTGATTGTGAACTTGAAAAAGTAATGGTGAAGGTATTTCAAAAAGTTCAAAGGAAAATGAAATTTAAAGATAAGTTCATTTTTGTGCAAAAAGATTGAATTACATACATAGTTATTTTTTTCCATGAAGTTTTAGGAGACTGTTCACATGTATGGCTTTAAAACATGTTTGCCTTAAAATAAACTTGCATTGCAATCCCATTTTTCAGGAACTTTTGAAGTCCCTAGTATGATTTTAATGTAATTCTGTGAGATGCATGAAATATGTCAATGTAGCATACTGGAGTATAATACTTTTCCAGTAGTTCAATTTAAATGGTATTTGAAGTAGAAAAATATTGCTATAATTACAGTGTTATGAAATAGATAATGTTATATTTACAGAGTTATTCAGTATTCCAAAAACTAAGCAACTGTAAACAAACACACACAATACTCTGCCCATAGGGGTCTAACAACAATGCCAAGACCATATTCATCTCCAACAAAATTTATTCAATAAAAAAATTGAGCTCAATGTTCAGACTGTGTGTGTGTGTGAGAGAGAGAGAGAAGCCCACTGTATATACAAGTGCCTAGAATACTGACTGGCACATGGTCAGTGTTTAACAAATATTTTCAAATATATGAATACATGACACTCATTTGAGGAATGGCTTTTTGTCTTCCCCATGAGCATAAATGTACAATGGTAGCATTAGAGAAATTATTGAGAATTGTAGTAGGCAAAAAACCTCCCCAGAACCATAGGCAGTGTGGTAGGGCAACAACAGAAAAGACAGTCTTACAAACTGTTTTCACAGAAGAAGGGAAGGGAGTGCACTATTTCTGTAAGAAGAGAAAGGTGAACCAAACAGGTCATGTGAATTATCTACAGCAGAGAAATAAAATAGCTTTTCTATCAGAGAGCTTACAGTGTCTTCTGTTTGTTTTGAACTAAAAGATTGAAAGAGAGTTGTGTTATTCAGGTTCAAACCCTTCACTGACCTCTCAACTTTTACAAGGTACATTAACAATGATAGACATTTTAGGTATTGGTTCAAAGATAAAATGTTTTGGGTGTGCCCAAGCTTTGCCACCTCAGTTGCAAATAACTTGAAGCAAAACTAAATTCAATTGAATTTTCCTTTGGCACAGTAAGTGTTGAGATTGGCCATTTGCAGTTCAAACAAACTGAACTCTGCTGTGCTTTTTGGATAAAACTTTTTCTGCCACATGTATCCCATGTTATATACTTGTACCACACTTAAATAGTATTTCTTCTCATTGCCTATTAGGAAATGGATTATAGTATTAATACAGTCTTGATAGTTTTAAATGAAAATGTTTATTTTCAGTGAAATTTTTCAAATAACATGACACTACTTGTTAACTCTTACAAGGTTGATGGTGTCTAAGGTGCCCACATTTCATTAAAATTACTAAATTCTTTAATTTCTACATTTTAGAATGTCAAATGACCTAGATTTTATCAATTTTACCTGAAGAAACTCTGAAAAAAGTACAGACAAGCGGTTTTTGGTGAATTAAAAAAATGAATGTCTCAAGTTCTACACTATAAAATGCATCTCTCTGGCTTTTTTAGTTATTTTTTCTACTTTTCTCCATGCAGTAGATGATTGTTCCGTTGCTCATTACAAGCCAGGCATCAATTTTCAGAGAACAAAACCACAATCTGCATTTGCAGTATCAATCAGTAACATATATCCTTAGGTCTTTAGATCTGACAGAGACCATGGATAACACTTTAGGCCAATTTGACATTTATATCTATGTGTGTGTGCATGTGTGTGTGTGCATGTATGTATCATGGTTCTACCATAGATCTACTATGAACTATACATACATTGTTCCAGCTAGGGAGAAAAGTCAAGTTTAAGTAGATTTCTGTTCTCCAGAGATACTAGTCTAGTGAAGAATTGGAATTTCTCATAGCTATGATTTAAATGTGGTTTCTCTCCCCTGAAGCTTATCTTGAAATGTAATCTCCATTACCAGATATTACAAGAACAGAAGTGGAACCTGTAATAGGTGATTAGAGCTCTGCCATCATGAATGGATTAATGCATGAATCCTGTCAAGGATTAATGTGTCAGATTTTCTTTTTCTAATATCTTTATAAGAGTATTTTTCTCATACTTTGAATCAGAGTATTATTTTTCTAGAGGTTCTGGATAAGACATTTCTGAGTTTCTCCCATGCCCCTGCCTTTGCCTAGGTGATGCCCTACACTGCCTCAGGACTCTGCCAGCAGGAAAGCAGTCCCCAACTGGGCCCCTACTGTTGGGCTGCAAATGTCAGCCAGAATAAACTTTTTCTTTTTAGAATTTATTCAATCTGTGTTATTGTGTTGTTAGCAATGGAAAATGGGCAATGAGAATAAGCACCAATATCAGTATTAAAGATGTTGATTAAGATGTTGATGAAGACACTTTGGCTCAACCATGGGGGTGATGAAAGAGAATATTGAGTGAATGAAAATATTAAGTTTGCTAATTCAACAAACCACTGATTTGAAAACCACTCATCTTGTTTAATTTCTTAATTTTAAGACTTTAAATCCATAGAGAATTGGTATAGAGTGAAGTGTGACATAAAATCCTAGAATAGGGGCTTGAGTTGGGGCATAAATCCAGTTAAGCCAGCAACTCAAGGCATCCAATATGAGCACTTATTCTAGTTCCAGCTGTTCCATTTCTGACATAACTCCTTACTAATGCATGTTGAAAAGCAATGGAAAATGGCCCAACTGGTTGGACTCCTAGTACTCACACCACAGACCTGGATGGAGTTTCAGAATCCTACTTTCAACCAGCCTCAACCCTGAACATTACTGCTATTTGGGGAGTGAACCAGTGAATGGAAGATCTTTCTTCTCTCCTCTCCTCCCTCTCTCCTCTTTCCTCTCCTCTCCCCTCTTCTCCTCTCCTCTCCTCTTCTCTCCTCTTCTCTTCTCTCTCCCTCTCCCTCTCCCTCTCTCTCCCTCTCTCTCCAACTCTATTTCAAATAAACACTTTTTAAAAAAAATTCTGATAAAATATGTATCTCCTTTAAAAAAAATCTCAGCAGTATAAGCACAGAAGTTTATACCATTAATGCTTACATTAAAAAAGAAAGAATTGGGGCTGGCATTGTGGCATACTGGGTAAAGTAGACAATTGAGACACCTGTATCCCATATGGGTGGTGGTTAGAGTCCTGGATGCTCCACTTCCAATCCAGTTCCCTGCTGATGTGGCTGGAAAAGCAGGGAAAGATGGCCCAAGTGCTTGGGCCCCTGCACCCATATGGGAGACCCAGAAGAAACTCCTGACTCCCAGATACAGATCTGCCTGGCTGTGGTGGCCATCTGGGGAGTGAACCAGCAGATGGAAGATTCTCTCTCTCTCTTCCTTTCCCTGTATGCTCTGTTTTTCAAATAAAAAATAAAGAAACAGTGGTCTCAAAGCAATAACGTAAACTTCCCCCTTAAGAAAATAGAAAATTAGGCGCAAATTATATCTAAAGTTAAATAGAAGATAGAAAATAATTAAAATAAATCAGTCAACAAAATTAAAAATAGAACAAAATAAAGAAAAGCCAATGAGCCATATTTTTCTTTAAAAAAATCAAGATTTAATATGTGTATCAGTGAAACCCAGCTACTATTTAAACATACATATGAAAGAAAATAACAAATTGCAAATATCATAAATGAAAAGGATTTCACATGAGATCTTACAGGTACTGACTAATTTGACCTCCATGAATTCACCAAATTAGATAAAAATGAAACAAGAGAATGTGAAATAGCTTATCAAAGAAGAATTAGTAGTACTGTATATATTAAATAATTGAATTTATTATTCAATACTTCTTACAAAGAGACTCTCAGGCCAAATATAGCTAGTAGATTCTACAGGATATCTTAAAAAAATACTAATTCTTGACAAACCTACCAGAAAAGTTTCCAGCTCATTTTATGAGGTCAGCATTCACTTGATATCAATATTTGACAGAGTCATTACAAGAAAAGAAAAAAAATTATCTCTAATATCTCTCAAAAATATGAACATATAAATTCTTTATCAATTGTAGTAGATGAAATCCATCAGTGTATTGAAAAGATAATCTTGATAATATGGGATCTGTTCCAAAAAAGAAAACTTGATTCAACATTTAAAAATTGATTGATGTGAACCACCTTATCAACAGATGTAAAAAATTATTATCTC